GGGGGGGGAACCTGGGAGAAAAACAGGAAAAGATGGGTGGGAATTGGCCATGTACTCAGCTTGTACTCGTACTGAACCGAATTAGTAGCTGGTTACTAACATCAGGGCTACTCCTCCTAAAGTAATAACATATCAGAGGAAAAGACGGTGCTAGGAAATAATTCCGACGGCAATACCGCCAACTACGTTTGTAGTATCCGTAACAGGAAGAACCATGTAGCATGGCTGCCATCAACGTTGGCGCTATTAAATCCGCAGTACTAGTACGAGTGCGTGACGAGTTTGTGCGAGTATTGATACTTGATATTGCTAGTAATACGAAAAAGGTTTTGTTCGGTCGGTTGCTGCACTAACCAGCATGCCGGGATATACTCGGAAGACAAGCCTTATTCCTTTTTTGTCAGAAAAGACTCATCACATACATCCCACTATGGAATGGGTCGCCGCGATCACATTTCTGCGAGCGATATAAGGTGCTACGTCGCCATCTATCGCCCCTTGTACAAAGTACCGGGCCTTGTATTACTCAGTAGCTGCGATGCCACCCCCGACTTATTGCACTTACTACTACTACTGCTACTTGCTACTACTGTAACAGTAATACTACTGCGCTAGCTAGATAGTAACGTATCCTTGGTGTCGCAGACGCTTGTGAGACGCCTTCCGGCCCAGAAGGTATCACGGTACAGAGAGGCAACAAGATGCATACAAGTGTATGTATGTATATGTATATCGACACATCGCAGTTGAATGATATACTTAATCAGATGTGTCTCTACCATCGCTTTCAGATTATCCATGTTCGAGTTAACAACTGGAGGACATGTTGTTTTCTTCGAAGTGTATCCGATAGAGTCGACGGTGAATACTTCAAGAGTTTGATGAATGTAGACGTTTTATACTATGATCGACCGTAAATACGCTCATCCGTAGCCAATCTTGTGCGGTAAGAGAGGTGTAGCCTCAAGTACGGATACTTGGAGCGAAATTTGGCTTTACCCTTGTGTTTCTGTTATCCACAAGCATCTGCGACACCAAGCAGATACAGATGACTCCCGCCTACATGTAGTTGTTCAAGCAGCCTCACAGGGTCGAGACCTTCCTTGATAGTGGCCCTTTGATGCTGACCAGGTCTCCTGGGAACAACACTAACAGGGCCTCCGGTCTCTATGCGTAGAAGGTGGACCGCCCATGGTGGGTGGAGCTCAGTGGAGGTGGGGGGGGAGGGATAGCCCGTACGAGCTACTGGGCCAAGCTTTTCCCCTTGGGTCAAGCCCTCCAGGCTCCAGCTGATCTGTATACGAGTACGGGGCCTTGGAGTAATAGTGTCTCTTTTCTTGGCCTGGACCAACGTTCTAGGTTTGAGATGGAGGAGGAGGATTTGTTTTTCTTTTGTAATCCTCTATTTCCCTGTTTCCCTTTCTTTTTTTTTAAAAAAAAAATATTAAAAAAGATGTAGGATCGCTTTTGTCCTACTACCTGACACGCCGTAGAATCCTAGTGGGGATATACACGTGCTCATGGATTTATCAGTAGCAATTACTCAATGTCACACACACAGAGACTTACACCCCACACTCGACGCGAAATGAACAGGCAGGTGATATATACATATACGGAGTATACACGTAAATAAAAACGGTCAGGACACTTGCCCATTCATGCCAAACTTCCCATCCACAAGTCATGTGTCGTCAAGTCCCTTCCCCCTCTCAGCACCAACGCTGTTACGATATCACTACGATACTATCCCTCTGGCCCTGCGGGGACAACTCCCCGATTCTATGTGCGTCCGGAACCATCGATCGACGGTATGGACCAGTCTAGACCAACGCGGCAATTTAGCTTCCATTGGGAGGGGGAGTTCAAACAGCAGATGGAGCCCATTGTACATGACATTAACTTTCTCTCTCTTGTTCTGATTTTAATTGCCTGCGCACTCTGCGCCTACAGAATATTTCCTCCCTCTTTTCATTGGTCTTCCTCATGGACTATCTCGTCCATTACAGGGTATGTAGTTTACCATTTACAGGGCATTTAATCCGCTGCCCCCCCCCCCCTATGTTAAAAAGGGTTCGCCACGCTCTCTCTCTTACTTGCCATGGCTTGCCCGGGGACCGGGGGGGGGGCTTGGGTTGAGGATCGTGTGAGGTACCGTACTCATCATCACTCGTTATACGCTACTCGTGTCAGTGTCAGCTGCCATGGAGAGCGTGCACCACCTTCACCTTCTCTGGTCATGTCGAAGACAAAGATAGGGCTCAAGGCTCATTTATACAGCCATGTAATTATACAACAACGGTGGAACAGGGCTAAGAAAAGGCGTCGCAGCCACTGGAAAGAAAAAAAGAGGCATCATTATATTCCATACGCATGCACACACGGTGACACACCACATCGGTTAACACTCAGACCACCCCATGCATGCTATCGCCTGCCGAGTATTGTCCGACGTGGAATATTCCTCCGTATGACGGCTGGCGCCTGTACGTATCAATGGAAACATTAATAATAATAAAAAGCGGATTTCAACCGTCCATTGCCTTGATTGACTCCATACTCGTATGCACGACACCAGACGGCTCCCTCATATATGCCTACCCAACCACAAAGACTTACCACACCCGATGAGCCGCCAAATACCAGATCGCTTCGATACTAGAAAGAAGAGGCGTCTCCTAGTTTCCATACACATGTAGAACGGGGACCGGGCTTGCGTGTCCCAGCCTAGGAGGATGGTGCCAAGCTGCGGAGGACCCCCAATGGTGGATCAGCAACGGGCAGCGCGGCGGGGTCCATGACCGCTGCATGAATCTTGGTCCTTGATATTGCCCTGGTCGGGCTCCCGCAGCATGCGGTCGTCATCACCCTTCGCCGTTGCTGTGCTGTTGGGTACTATGTTTGGTGAATGAGGGTTATAGACGTAGTATTGTTACCGCCAGCTCCAGTCGCATCAGGCACTAGCATATCCTCATGAACGACAAACACCTTGTGCTATCCTGTTTTTGCTTTCCCCTCTTCCTTGATCGGACACAGTTCCGCTCGCTCTTTTATGGGAGAATTAGCCTGCATTACTTCCGTCTCGCCACAAGCATCGTGGTCCCACGTAAGGTGAAAGGTGCTTCGAGTACTTGACGTTGGGATCCTCATGTGTAAAGCTTGTTTCAACCGGCCACATCTCACGTCTGCCGGGAGTTGTGCGCAGAGCGAGCGAGCGAGCCCTTATGTTTGGGCAAACATTCCCTTGGGCAGACTTCGCCACATCGGGCTCGGGACGCTTCGTCATCGATCTTCTCGCCGTATTGATTCCTGGCTTAGAGGTCTCCAAACTCCCCAAGCTGGGCCTTTCTGGGGTAGTGTCAATATGAGTATCTGGCTTGTGGCTGCTGCGACATTCGGCAGCTCGTTCATCTTAGACTTCGCTAGATATCTTCACTTCTTGTTCGTCGGCTTCCTAGACTGCCGCTGTGCATCTCATAGCAGCTCCGATCACGACGAGGTGAAAGCCGAGCCCCGCTATCCCAAGCACCCGACTGAAGTCGTGCCCGAGGCAATCCACAGGCTGGGTCTGGACCGGTGGCGGCACAATTTGAAGCGCCGAGTTGGGGGCATCACGGGTGGCATCGTTCCCTTTTCTTCCCTCTGGAGGCACGTTTATCGGCTCCCTCGAGGGTGTCTTGGAAGCACAAAAATTATGGGATTAGCTCCCGACGCTTGACCTTTCTTGTTTCATTCTGAGACATCGAGACGGCTTTGGACTGACCTATGCAGCATGCCTCGGTGCTCCGCTATATTCTTGGGACCCAGGAACGAGGCAAAAAAAGGCCACGAGGCTGTCAAGGCTGGAAAGGGTCTGGACAAAGTCGGACATGGCACATCCAGTTTTCAGGGTCCATCGTGTCCAGCCCCGGAACCTCCCGCATAAAAGAGAGAGACGTTCTCGAGAATGTTGACATTCTTCAACCTCTCATACCTTATCTTCCGGAGTTGAAGATAAAATCCTTGCTGACAGGCTGTGGTGCAGTCATGAACCTCTGTAGGCCTGGTTGAGTAAAAGTTAAACGTTGTTGTGACTGTGGAATCCCGAAGAGATCTTCCTCGTCGATTACAAGGCCGTCTCTTTCCCAGCACCTCTCAGGCTCTTATCACTGTGGATGGCCGTGGATACGAGTATGCGGCGAGGACGATTGTACGCGTACACTGCTGGAAGACTTCAGATTCGCGGAGAGCAATGCCGCGCTCAACAACACGAGCATCCTATTCATACGGATCACCTGTATTGAGGGCGGTGACGAGAGCCATGGCAGATACCGGAACACATGTGAGCGCCACGAGGTTTACACCGCACAGTTGAAAGCTCTCTCTGACAGCTTCGGGTCAATGAGGCCAGTTGATCGCTCAACTCTTGATCGATGCCGCCACCTTGAGAGGGAGGGTCGATGAAGTGCTGCTTACCTAGTGGAAAAGAGACGCAATACGGTTTCGTGACCTTCAGCGATACCTTTCAAGCGCCATCGCATAGGAAGAAGCCACATCTGTCCATGGCTTAACTACCAGTGCTGGGTTGGTTCATTGCCTGCTAACGCCCCTGCCTGCTCTACGTATGTGACATCAGCGAATAGGGCAAAACATCGGAAAATCGGCAAGAACGGGGCGAAAGGTCAAGATATTGGCAGGATCATATGTCGGCGGTAATCCTAGTAGGGCAAACCTTGCACAGAAGATGTGTAAAATGTAGGAGTGGTGGTACGATAATTCCGATACCGTAGTTGGCTGGACCGACCCGAAGGCAGAGTACACGGCGCATCACCAGTGTCGGCAACCAACACCGTCCTGCTACCCGTGCTCGCAGAAGCGTTTGGTGAGGGCATTAGCATCACACATGGCAGGATGAAGGCTGCATGGAGGAAAAGAACCAATGCTGCGCTTCAGTGAGTGCAGCTGCCAGCGCCAGCCATCATCTTGGTCACATCTGTGAGCGGCAGATGCGCAGCTCTTTACTGGTCACATCCCCGGTCAAGCCCCCACAAACGTCCCAACCCACCAGGCCAATGGCACCCAGCATCTCAGAATCCGGGCGCTTAACCACCCAGGTTGCCAGCATGAGGCCCCTCACGGACAGCCAGTCATTGGCCTCTTTTCAGCCATCATCACCTTTTGGCACTTTGTTCCCACGCACGGCAGCATGCGTAAGCCTACTCCCACATCCCCGGCGGCAGAGAGCAGGCGAGACAAGGAGCGATCCTTAAAGGTCGTTCCCCTCTCATTCATCACTCTCTTGCTCAGCCTTTTGTCCGGCCTCCATCTGAGCCTCGACAAACAACCACACGTGGGAGTGAGAGAACGTATTTATCCTCCATAGCCCCCTCTGTTGAACAGCAGCGGACTTTTGCATCCCTTCTGTTCTTGTTCTCCTTCTCGCGGCCCTGGCGCTCGGTAAATGAGAAGCCGGTTTCCCATCTGGTCCCGCTTGCTGGCGAGCAACCAAGAAGAGAGAGCATCACCTGAAGAAGCAGAACCCTTGAGTGGCTTCATTGACGAAAACACCATGCCTACACTCAAGCAGCGCTGGTCCGAGAGGACATACCGAATCTTCCACCGACAGTGGCCTCGGCCAGCCCACCGAGCCATCTGGTGGCTCATGGCTCTCGAGCTTGCCGGCCTCGTCCCCGCCCTCGTCATCTACGGCATCTCTCAGCCCGACCTGTACCGCACCAAGCTGTGGAGGATCGGCTTCGAGAACAAGCTCAACTCAAACCCCAACATCATCCTTTACGCCTACGCCAACCACAAACCTCTTCCTCATGTGGCCCTCGTCTGGTCCAGGACGTGAGTCTCATCCCCCCTAGGTCCCGCATGCCCTCTTATGTCGTCTAACGTCGTTCCTTGCAGCTTGACCGACTTCAACGTCGCCATCTCGGTCATCTCCCTCTTCGTCCTCCTCACCAAGCTTATTGCCTTCATCATGAAGTGGTGGTACCCGCTCATCGCCCTCTTCGCCAACCTGGCTCTCACCATCCTCTACCTCGTCAGCACGTACGGTCAGATCGGCCCCGACTACACAGACGAGCGATACCCGTCGCCCGTTGCGTGGTACCTCCGCTATGGTTGCGAAATGGCTAAGCCCTGGAATGCGTACAACTCGTGTCGCATCGCCCAGGGCTCCCTATTTGTGTCCCTGTACATGATGTAGGTGGATGCAAATTTGCACCGTGTAGCATCACGGCTAGAACTGCTTGCTGACTTGTTTCCGTCAACCGAATAGGGTCATCTACCTCCTCAACTTCGGTTTCGCCTGCTGGGCAATGAAGCCCAACAAGGAGCTCAACGATGTGGAGGATTTTGATGACGATGACTCAGTATCGGGCCACGAGATCAAGAACTGGGAGATGCACAGCATGAAGTCCTCGGTCGACATCAGAGGCACGCCCTTCACCCCCCGAACCCAAGCCTTCCACGCCCTGGACAATCGCCCTTCGTCCAGGTATCGTTGAGGCGGAACTTTTTATTGTATAGCAATCATACCAGAATGTGATGACTTTTGTTTCTAGAAGATCAGGGACAGGAGCAAACTGAATTATGTTTGGTGGATCTCTCCTTTTGTCTTTTTTTATTATTATTTGGCGTACGGACGGATGGCGAATACCTATATTATTTTGATTGTAGCAAGATGATGGAATTGATAGCGACCTTTGTTTGGAAATTACGCATGGCCTCGTGGGCATATGATTTGGTTTCCATTACATGAGTTTGATGCGCTCCGTCTGTACGTACTGCAGATGAAGCGTATTATTACCACTTCTAGTAGAAATACTCTGTAATACTCTGTTTTAATGCTGCTACTTGAGGCCGAATGACTCCAGGCCAGAGAGCCGGATAGTTGCCGGTCGCGGCGCGGAAACCCCCCACCAAGACGTCATCCATTGGCCTGGTCGGGAGGGTTGCCCCTCTTCCACCTTCCGGCTCTCTTTCTACCAGATACCCATCTTCAACCACTTATCTTCGGTAAACTCCACAACCCGTGTGTGCTGTCACGCCTTTTCCAACCGATCAAGCCCGTCTTAGAAGGAGAGGAGAGGGTACAAAGAGGGGCCTGTCCCAAAGAGGGTCTTTTAGTTTACTTTCTTCTTCTTCTTCTTCTTCTTCTTCTTCCTCTTTCGAGATAATGTTCAAGAGACTGGCTGCTGCTCATAGACTACCAGCACTACGATTTGGAGCGGCATTCACGCATTCCACTGTCAGAAGAGCTTCAACCATGGCACCTCAGGTTCGTTCGCAATCCCCTTGGGACTGGATAGTCTTCCTCCCGTTGTCTCCCTCGGTTCACCGGTCCTCTCTCACAATCCCTGGCCTCTTCGATTGAATGAGGGACTGGTTGGATTGATATTGAGGAGGGAAAAGAGGATAGTCGGAAGAGCTTGAAGCATGGCTGACCATTGAACCCTCCGGAACCACAGCTCAAGGACCCTTCTCTGCTTAAGCAGAATGTCTGCTTCGTCAATGGCGAGTGGAAAGCCGCCAAGTCCGGCAAGACGTTTGAGGTGACTGGTAAGTGGTAGCGAGCTACCCAATCCAGATAAGAGAGCAGGAGGGGCTGATATAGATTCTTTGGAAACAACACAGACCCCGGAACGGGCAAGCTAGTGGGAACCAGCCCCGAGTTCACGGCTGAAGACACGCAGGAGGCCATCGACGCAGCAAGCGTGGCTCTCTCTTCGTTCCGCAAGCTGACGGGCCGCGAGCGCGCCAGGCTACTCCGCCGGTGGTACGACGAGCTGGTGGCTAACGCCGAGGACATTGCGACGCTCATCACGTGGGAGAACGGCAAGCCGCTGGCGGATGCGCGGGGCGAGGCGACGTACGCGGCCAACTTCTATGAGTGGTTCAGCGAGGAGGCGCCGCGGATCTACGGCGACACCATCGGCACGGCGACGGCCAGCAACCGCGTGGTGACGTACCGAGAGCCCATCGGTGTGTGCGGTTTCATCACGCCCTGGAACTTCCCGGCGGCCATGATCACGCGCAAGGTCGGCCCGGCGCTGGCGGCCGGGTGCACCGTCGTGTGCAAGGCGCCCGGTGAGACGCCCTTCACGGCGCTGGCCATCGCCGAGCTGGGCGTGCGCGCGGGCATTCCCAAGGGCGTCTTCAACGTGGTGACGGCCCTGAACAACACCATCGAGGTGGGCCAAACGCTGACGAGCGCGCCGGCCATCCGCAAGGTGTCGTTCACGGGCTCGACTGGCGTCGGCAAGGTGCTGATGAAGCAGTCGGCCGACACGCTCAAGAAGCTGTCGATGGAGCTGGGCGGCAACGCGCCCCTGATCGTCTTCGACGACGCCGAGCTGGATGTGGCCGTGGCGGGCGCCATCACGTCCAAGTTCCGGTCGTCGGGCCAGACGTGCGTGTGCGCCAACCGCATCTACGTCCAGAAGGGCATCTACGACGAGTTCGTCGCCAGGTTCGCCGCCAAGGTCAGGGAGTTCAAGGTCGGCAACGGCTTCGACGAGGGCACCACCCACGGACCCCTGATCCACAGCCGCGCCATCGAGAAGGTCGACGCCCACGTCCGCGACGCCGTGACCAAAGGCGCCACCGTCCTCGTCGGCGGCCAGAAGCTGCCCAACCTTGGCTCCAACTTCTTCCAGCCCACCGTCATCCGCGACATGACCTCGGACATGGACATCGCCTCCCAGGAGACTTTTGGCCCCGTCGCCGGCATCTTCCCCTTCTCCTCTGAGCAGGAAGTTGTCTCCCTCGCCAACAAGGCTGAGGTCGGCCTCGCCGGCTACTTCTTCTCCCGCGACATCGAGCGCGTCTACCGCGTCGCCGAGGCCCTCGAGGTCGGCATGGTCGGCGTCAACACTGGCCTCATCTCCGACACGGCCGCGCCCTTCGGCGGTGTCAAGCAGAGCGGTTTCGGCAGGGAGGGCTCCAAGTACGGTATTGAAGAGTACCAGATCATCAAGACTATCACATTTGGTGGCATGGGAAAGCCCCTGCAGTCATAAGTGGTACGGAGAGTGAAGAGTACAGTAGCGATCAGGGAAGAATCTAGCCATGTCGAATTATATCCAATTGAAATATGAATGGTTGTCCATACGTCATAGTAAGTGCATCGCATCTCTGTAGCGGGTTGTCTTGTAAGACCGACTGACCGTCGAACCTATGGCCAAACAGTCAATAAGGTAGGACAAGCAAGACAGGACAAGACAGGCAGGATAAGACAAAAAAACTTGATGATGTGTGTGATACAAAAATCAGGAAAAAAAAATTGATCGCGGCAGGGTTCGAACCTGCGACCTTATGTGAATCAGTACAGTATAATTCTGTAAGACATACGCGATAACCACTACGCTACGCGATCTTACTTTTTTTGAGAACGCATTTGGATACTAATATACTACTTGGACCCCTAATACAGGGGTAGGTAGTGAGAACTGTCCAGCTATGTGATCCGAGCTCTACGAGTACTCCAGTATTGATTTGTAGAAGTAACGTCGACTACATTTTGGACAACCCCGATTTGGAATTCTTTCCTCGTTACGACATCTTATCACCACTACCATCACCTCCTCCTCACAGACAATGGCTTCCCGATTCAGTGCGCCATTGAGGCGTGCTATCGTTTCTATAGAAACGTATGATACTTTTTAATTCCTCATATCTCATATGTTGAAAGAAGGATCAAAAAAGACAAAGGGGGGGTGGAAGAAAGCTGACCAGACATCTCAACAATTCAGGATTCGATTCCCACCTTCCTACCGCCCGTTGGCCATGGCAGCAATAGCAGCACCCATCCGGACGTTTTCCGCATCGACAGCACTCTACAAGAAGCGCAAGATTGCACCGGCGAGCAACAGCCCAAACAACAACAACGGCGGCAGCAGCAGCAAGGCAATGTATTCACCCACCAAAGTCGACGGCGGCAGCAGCAATGGTGGAGCACAGCCAGACCCGGAGGACCCTCTCAACTTCTCCGCCGTGACAGAGGCGTACGCCCCGATCGACGCACACTTCAAGTCGCAGCTTCACAGCCTCCTTAACGGCGGGCGGTTCAACCCCGACTCGCTGGGCGGGCTGCAGGTGTCGGTGAAGACGCAGGTGCCGGCCGACGACGGCACTGGCGCGGTTCTGACGGACGTCGAGACGTTCCCCCTCCGGGAGCTCTGCCAGGTGGTCCCCCGCCCGGGTCGCACCATCTCGCTCCTCGTCAACGAGCGCGACTACGTCAAGCCCATCATGTCGGCGGTGCAGGCGTCGCCCGACTTCAACCAGCAGCCGCAGCGGTCCGACGACAACGACCTGGAGCTCGTGCTGCGCGTCCAGATGGAGCGCAAAGAGGACCTGATCCGCCGGCTGCGCGACGCCACCCAGACGTGGAGGGACCGTGTGCGGCACGCCCGCACAAAGCACGACAAGGTTCTCAAGGAGTGGAAGAAGAACAAGGTCCTCACCACCGACGTCGCGCGCAAGGCCGAGACAGAGCTGCAGAAGCTGCAGAATAAGAAAATGAAGGAGATTGATGACGAGGAAGCTCGTGCCATGAAGCAGCTCGAACGCAATTCTTCCTAAAGTACTTGTGGTCTTGTATATCGGCAGTCGAAGAAGAGGGGGGGGAAAGGCATTTGAGAAACTTTTTTCTTTGTACAAGTAGCAGTGTGTATAGATATATATAGTATTACAGGACTCAATTGTACAGTAGTTAAGCATTTCTTCCCTCTCACACTCATTTGACAAGACATATCAGGTGGTCACATGATCTTCCTTTCTTCTTCTGCGACTTCTCTCTCATGCCTTGGCCTCCTTCTTCTTGGGCGCAGCCTGCTTGCTCTTGGCCAGCATGGTCGAGAGTTTGGCCTCAAAGGCTTTGCGCTCCTTGGGACCCCACGTCTCAGAGCGGAGGTGCCAGTTGCGCGAGATGCCCACGGGGTCGGTGGCGTACTCGAGGGTGTCGTGGCGTCCGGCGACGGCCCCGTCGAGGATTGCTTTGCGAGCCTCCTCGTCAAGGTCGCGGATGATAGGGTCGGTGGCGATGGCCGATTCGTCCTTGCCGGCGGCGAGGGCCTTCTCACGGCGCACCCGCTGCATGTATTCCTCCGTGCGCTGGCGCGACTCGGTGTCGGCAAAGTAGCGCAGCCCGCGCTCTTTGAGGTCGAGGGCGTACATTGCGGGCGTGAGGCCGGCCGGCCGGCCGACGCGGTCTGCAGTGCCCAGCGCGCTAAGGCTCTCGTGGATGCGGGCGGCGGGGCCCGTCGATGACGACGGCACAGCGGGCATCTCGCGAGCTAGCGACTCGCGCGTCAGCTCCGGCTTGTACGTCGTCTCGACGCCAAACCGCATCGCCTGCTCAAGCGCGTGCTCCGACGGCTCCACAAGCTCCGACTCGTCCACGTAGCGGTCATCTCTAAACGACCGCGCACCGTCCTCCTCACCCTCCCCGCCCTGCTTTCGGCGGCGGGCAGCACCCTGCGCGGAGGCTCCCCGTCCACCTTTGCGGCCGCGCTGTGCTCCCCGGGCGGCACCGCCACGGCCACCGCCCCGAGCTCCAGACTGCCCAGCAAATCTGCTGCTGCCGTCACCCGTCGGGCGGGAGGCACTTCCGCGACCACCCCTCACGCCGGCACCACCACGGCTGCCCCGAAAGCCGGCACCGCCGCGGCCGCGAAGACCACCCCTGGGGAGGGACCTGATGTCCACGACCTTAGGTTGCTGCTGTTGCTGGGGAGGGATGGCACCGCCAGTCTGCGCGGGCCTGTTGGCGGCCAAACTCTTGATCTCGTTGACGTTGGCCTGGGAACGCTGTCGTGCAGGAGAAGGGGCACTGTCGCTGCTGTTTCTGCTGGCGGGCTCGTCGGCGAGAAAGTACGGCGATGTCGAGAATTGGCGAAAGTAGGGGCTCATCTGGACGACGGTCCGCGTCGCCTGGTCGAGGTCCGCGGGCCGTGCCCGACGGCACATGGTCTGAAAGGCGTGGCGATTCATTATCGTAGCAGATCTTCCTTCTCTCCTTTTTTTTTCTCGGCAGGCTCGCAATCGTCGCCGAGCGTGATGGGGCGGAGAAGTCCTGCTTGGATTGATGGTGGATGGCTTCAATTTTCTGGGGGGTTCTGGGGGCGGCATGGAAACTTGTCGCTGGGACGAATCTTTCCCATAAGTGCACGTGACTAAATACGGGGGGAGGGAGGGCGACCCACCACCCCAGGCAACATGAACCACCACGATGAACAGGAATTGGAGGGTTGTTCAAGAAACCTAAGGATGCTATTTTATCCCGTAAGACCACGTCAGTTTTCGCAAAGCGGTGTTGATGGTACAGGCTGCAGGATGAGGCGGGGGAATGTCTCTACCTACCTAGGCGGCTTTTCTCCCCCCTAATTCTCTCCACGCCTCTCTTGACATCCCTTCCACGATACTCTGTACTTAGTACGCGATAGCAACCACGGGTCGTTCGAGCAGCTTTTTCTCCCGGGACGGGTAAGCAGCCTGAACCGCATCCATCAATCAAGGACAGCTCGCCTCAGAGGCCAGAGCCTGATAACGCAACCCTAACCATTCCCCCTTCCCCGATAGCCCCAGACAGAGCAGTACTGGTAGTATCAATATCTGGTGCGGTATTCGACACAGCTTGGCTCCCCTCCTACTCATCAGACAGCTACTTTGCTTCTCTGCTAGACACACCGTGATTGTGTGCCAGGAAAGCTGTCTGGGCGTATCACGCGGTCGCACTACGCCGTATTTCCGGACCATAGCCAACACCAGAACATACAGAGCACGAGCAGAGAGGGCACCATGGAATCCTCGACGGTGGGGCTGAAGTACTCCGCCTTTGTCTCGCAGATCTCCTGGGTGGACGAGTGGCTAGACAAGGACCCCGGCTATCAGACCGGTCGTTCGCGGCCCCTGGTGAATGGCTTCAGAAGCCAAAGACAAGGACGGAGACGTCGAGACGATCCCGGACAGGTACCGCTCTCTCCAGGCTGCAAATCATGACGTCGACGACGCCCAGGTCCCCAGAACCATCTCTCATCAAGACACGGGGGCAAAAGGAATCATGTCGGAGCATAGTAGAGGAGAGTAGTAGTGTATAAGTGAAGAGAACTACCTTGTGGTAATAAAACAATAACCCGGCAAGAATAACATGAGACCTCTCTTGTCTTCCGTTGTGTACGCTCACGAAGGGCGCGCTCAGTTGAACTGTCTTCCCAGGTTTGATAATGGGGAAATCGCTGGCCAAATCCTAGCCTTTCATAATGAGATTCCCGGCCATTGATAAACAAATAAAAAAGAGAATCATGGCCTGATAAAATGTTGAGATAAAGTAAAAGAAAAGAAAGAAAGCAAGCATAGAACCATGTACCAGGCAGGTATCGACACATTCCCATTGAATTCCCAAGGCGCCTTTTGACTAGTTGTAAGATGACAACTTTGCAAGAAAATGATGAAAAAAGAAAAGAGAAGACGCCGAGTCCCGCGAGAGGTGTAATCTGCAGAGTTTCATGGTATAGCAATGGAGAGTGAAAAAGACCTCTTCAGAGTGATGATTGATCCACATGTCCATTCCAGGAACAACATGTTGACGACCATGTCTCTTTCTTTCATCCTGTTATCAGGAGCATGACCCTATTGGGGTCAAGAAGCGTAAAAGGAACAGAAACCTTTCGCTGTCCAGTCTCCGGTTTTCACGCCGAGACAATTATACCAAGGCCCATGCCTGTCCAATACTCGGGAAGGGTTGTTCCTCCCCGCGCTCTGATTCTCCAAGAAATAGAGGACATGGACTTGTTGTCTTGGTTCTCTTTCTTGTTCCCTACGTCTCTGGGACTTGGCGTCCCTTTTTCCTTTCTTCGCCTTTCTCGCTTCCCGTAGGCCCTTAAGATCGCTCGAGTGGACACAACTCGTATAGTAATGACGTGTGTCTCTCCTTCCTTCTTCGAATCTAACTTCTTCTTCTTCTTCGAGTAAGAACCGCATAGTTTCGATGAATATTCGAAAGAACGGGCATCATTAGACGCTCTGGGGGTGGACACTCGCAGGCTATATGTATGTCAGTACACATTTGATAAGACCTCTGGCAGATGTGCCTCTCGCGGAATATGATGGACAGTGAAACTGGAGATGGTAGGTGACAAACGTACCGGGCTATTGAGCATCTGCTGTCTCTTATTCCTGCCCTTCTTGATATGGTTCTTGAGTGCGCTCGAGTCCAGCGGCTTGATCAACTCAAAGCTGCACAGTAGCTCTGACGAGACGGACATAACGGCACCCCAGTTATCGAATTCACCGCAGTACTATACACCCACCGTTAGTCTTCATTCTTTTTCTCCATCTCGTCTCTCTCTTTTTTCCCTCCTTCTTTTCTGTATTCCTTCTGAGAAAGCAAGGGATGACTCACATTCGGCGCAGAAAAAACTGTGACGAGGACCTTGTCGTTGAAAAACTCGTACCCGTCCTCGACAACCATGTGGGCGCGACATATGAGGTCAAAGTCATGCACGGCAAGGAAGTCGGTAATAACGCGCTTGCCAAAGCAGTAACTGACACCTCTCTCATTCGGCTCCCAGTCCGAGTCCATGTCGGCGGGGTCAGACCAGAGCAGGTCGTTTAGGAGGCCGTAATCGGGAACATCGGTGGGGCGGGCAATGTTGCGGATATCGTCCATATGGCTGAGGGCGGGAGAGAGACCACCGTGGACGCAGAATATCTTGCCGGCGACGATGGAGGCAATAGGCAGGGTGTTGAAGCAGTCGATAAAAGTCTTCCAGATCTTGACGTTGCAACGCCGCTTGCACTCGTCGTAGAAGCCGTAGACGCGGGTGACGTTTGCGCACTCGTGGTTGCCGCGCAGCAGGAAAAAATTTTGGGGATACTTGAGCTTGTAACACAGGAGGAGCAGGATGGTCTCGAGGGACTGCTTGCCGCGGTCGACGTAGTCGCCCAAGAACAGGTAGTTCGCGTTGGGGGGGAAGCCGCACATCTCAAACATGCGGATCAGGTCCGTGTACTGGCCGTGGACGTCGCCGACAATCTTGACCGGGGCATCGAGCTCCAGCAGGGCGGGTTGGCTGAGCAGCACCTCACGGGCCTGCTGGCAGATGGCGACAATCTCGGCGTTCTTGAGACAGACGGCCTTGGTCGTCTTGGCCGAGTACCCCGCATCCAGGAGCCGCTTGATGAAGTCGTCCAGATCGATATCCTTGATGTCCGACATGCTCATGTTGGGCCCCGACTCGCCCTTTGTCGGATCAGGCGGCGCCGCCACGATGACCGGGTTAACAGCGTTTTCACGCTTCACCAGGATCGAAGCCCCCGGCTGCAGGGTCGACGTGTTGGCGTTGGCCACGGCCCCAGGAGGCTGGTCGGACACGTGGTCAACCTCGCCCGACGCCTGGGCGGCTGACAGGTCAGAGTGCTGGCCGCTCTTCATCGACTGCGACTGCACGGGTGACGGCGGGGGCTGGTCGTCGAGAATGGGTGAGTCCATGGCTGATGCCGCCGACGTCAGGTCGGTCGAGGCCGACCTCATGTGTGGCAGGTCGGACCGGCTGTTGCGTGAGGCGCTCGAACGGCGGTTCTTACCTGAGCGAACCGAGGCGGCGCCGTCGACATTGCTGTTACCGTTGCTGCCACTTGAGTTCTCACCGTTCACCAGGTTGGACGAAGCACGCGGGCTGTCGGTCTTGGCGCCGCCGCTGCCGCCGCTGCCGCCGGGAATCTTGGACCGCAGAGACCGAAACGATCGCGACGACTCCTTGGTGTCCGACTTGCTCAGCGATGGGTATGACTGGAAGGCATCGTTGCCGGAGCCGCCACCTTCTTTGGAGCTCTGGTTGCCCATGGCGTATATGTATGTGCGTATGTAGGTGGATCTCTCCCAACAGAGGGAAGGAGGCGATTGCAATTGACCGGCCGAGGCGCCGAGAAGTCAAAAGTCAAAGCTCCAGTCTCGGATATTAGCGGCCTCGCTCTCCGAAGGTTGCGGGGGACAGACTGATTGCGTTTGCGTGCGTGTCTCTTTTTCTGCTCTGCTCGGCTGATCCGAGGGCGTACGAGAGGCCGTTCTGGGGGAAGCGAAAGAAAAAGAGGGAAAAGTGTCGAGTTTCAGCCAAGGATATTTAAAAGGACTAGAGCGATTGAAGAGGATGGGTCTGCACCGAAGAGTGCGGACAGGGCTGCGCTGAGTTGATAGGAGTCGCAAATGTAGCAGTGCAGGATTACTATGACAGTGAAGCTGCTGATAGATGACGATGCGGGCGACGGTCGGGCGGTGGAGATCGGGCGGTCTAGAATCGAGAGGGGAGAGAAGTTGGTTGGGCTGACGTCGGGCGCAGAAGATATGGATTCGATCAGAGTATAGAAAGGCAGCGTGCGAAGAGAGAGACAGCGATATGAGGACCGAGAGTAGCGGCCAAAGAGGGAGGAAGGAGGATGAAGAATCCTTGGTGTTGGTTGCAATGGGGAAAAATGGTTTTCAGACCGAGGAGGGGAACGTAGAGGGAAAGAGAGATGGGGAAGAGGTGAGAAGTGGACTATTAGCTGCGGGGAGGCGAGAGTCTGCAAGCGGCCGCCACTGAGGAATGGATCAAGCTGGGGGAGGGGGGGTTACAAAGGGACAAATCTTGTCCAAAAAAATATATTGGTTGAAAGGGTTGAAGAAGAAAGGAGATGGCTATGAGAATACATTGAATGTAATCCACACACGTTTTTCGCATTTTACTTTTTTGCACTTCTTTCTTGTCTCCATCAAATAATCTACCAGTAAACCCAGAGTAAGAGGCCTGTACATGCATCTATGGTACATACGAGGAGACCCTCAGGCGTCACTTGGTTGGGCGGGCTGGTGCCGGGGCAGATCTTAGCGTGGTCTATCTCTACTCATAGACTTTTCGGTGTGCAGTCCTTTGCAATGAATGAGCAGCTGATGTGCTAATACTGTCTTCGGTGACATTGCGGGCTAATGCTAGCAATGATGGCCTTGAATTATGATCTACTCCGGTAGAGCACCAGCAGCAGTACTGAAGCTCTACTAGAGGGGTACTGCTACTACATATGCACGCGTAGTAATGATAATCCCCCAAGTGTACGGGCTTGGAGATGTGGTTTGATCTGTCGTTGGAAGCAGCACTGCGGATTAAAAAAGGGCCGGTCAATGCAAACCCATTCACGTATCACTATCATTCCAACTAGCAGTTTCACGGTCTTCACCTTCACGCGCATCAGTAAGACAGGCGGTATAGATCTCGAGACGTTTGCAATAGGATCTATGATGAGCCGCATGTTGAGAGTCTGAGACATTGGGCGGCAGCTCCTCTATAATCTATCCCATGTCGTCACTCGCAGTGTCTGATAGATTGGAAATCCCCAGCTTTTTTTTTTTTCTCTTTTTTTTTGTTTGGTTCTCGTCCGCAGATTACCCTGTATCTGTCCAGACCGGGACAGAAATCACTGCAGCCACGAAACACAGCGACGATGATTCATCTACCCGTATACTTGAGGGTTGTATGATTAATAAGATGGCCTTCAAAAAAAGGGATATGGTCTGACTGGCTCAACTGTCGGCAAGTTCCAACTGTGTGCCGTATCAGCTTATTTCATCAGTACGAGCTTGATGAACAAGCTATTCTGACAAACCACCAAGTCGACAATCACCATTAACACCACACGGTTATGAGCAATAGACACTGTTACGATTGTTGGTGACGGCGGAGATCAACAACACTTTGATAACTCGGCCGCCAAGATGATGGTTACGTGTCGTGCGCCTCCCAAACGATTACGAGTTTGGACTGCACTACGGGGAACTACAGAGAAACTGGTAACTAAGTTAAGTGGTCTTGCGTCTCGGTAGTCGCAGTCGTACCAAGGTCCCTCTAGCGCGAGGGTAGGACAGATGGAAACACGTGACATATATGCTCGGTACAGCGCACTTTGGGGAATATACAGTACCATGTCATTACAGCGTCGTAGAACCGGGCCATGGGTTCTCGGAATACGACGTATGACGCTTACTTCTACCCCATATCGCTGCTGAAATATCGATGCGTATTCCGTGCAAGTAAGACTGTGACTTATATACAGGGTTAGAGTGTGTCTTGGATTCTTGACAGCTCCTGTCTCTGTATCATGTTTTCAAAATGTTCGATTACGAGAGTTGGTAGCTGCGTCCATCAGAGGCCGCCAAGACGACGAAGGCCCTGGGCCCCCAGCACAGCACATGGTCAAGAGGCTGGGGAGATCGGCGAGTGCGATAGCGATCTTGGGTGAGACACACGGTGGGGGACACGCAGACACACAGACACACACGAGCTCGTAGCCGGTAGGATGGCCCATGGGAGGAGGGGGGGGGATGACTTTGGTTGGAAGTTGGCAGAGGAGACGGCGGGACAAGCGCACCATGGGAACATTGGGGAGCACAAGGATTGCTAAATATAGAGCGGCAGCTTGGAGATCCGCGACAAGCAGGGGGCTGTGCAGGTGCAGCGTGGGTAAGCTTGTCAGGACTTAGGAGGGACAGGCTACAGGCTACCACTGTGCAGCACAGCGTACGAGTACATTGCATTACGGGCAGCCCGTAAAGTTGCTGGCCGGGGAGGGAATTTGGTGCCGAGAAGACCGGGAGGATGCAAGCCACACGATATCCGCCACCGCCACGACATTGACTAGAAGAGGGCATGAATAATACCACGGCAAAGGGAGGAAGGATATAGAAATGAATTAAGATGGTGCTCATGTGAAGAGAAAAAGAGAGAAGACGAACTAGGAAAGAGACGCATTGATCAGACAATACATGAAATGGGATATCGGGGGATGGAACATCCGTCATCTAAGCTATGTCATACGAGTACTCGAGAAGAAAAAAGAAAAAAAGGGAGAACGCGTTGCGTGCAGCGTATTACCTAGCTGCTAGCTAACTGCTAGCTAACTGCCAGAGACCGCTAACGGGTGAGGCGCCGGTGCTGACGACGACAAAGCGGAGTTGCTGGGGAGATGGACGTCGCCAGGGTCCAGCTTCTATTCCATTTTTTCCCCCATTAAATATTTTTTTTTCCGCAGTGACGTGATGTATGTTCCACCGACCACACCAGCCACAGCCCGCCGGTCTCTCCCCTCTTTTTATTTATTTTTGTGAACGGCTGGGAACAGTTCGAATAGAAGGAGGTTGGACTGAACGACAACATCAGATGCATCACAACCAGTAGTGTCGCAGACTCACGGGGGATAGGGAAATCACTGTCAATGTCATCCCTTCACGACACTTGTAACGAATCACCCTTGTTTGCCCTGCGACTGTAACATCCATCCCAAAGGGAGTGTGTCAGAATCTTCCTCTCGGGGCCTCTTCCAGGGCCCTACAGGCTACAGGTACATGCATAGCGCGGGCTAAGGGGGGGGGGGACCTTGGGGGACGTGGATCTTGTCCCTTCCGGCAGCTTCTCCGACTCCTTCCCTCCCTCTCTAGACCTCTCTCTTCACTCCACGAGTATTAATACTTCTTCCCGATCCAGCCCTCCACAGGGGACCACAGCCCACTACATGTACCGGGGCCAGGCTATCCACAGTGTGTACGGAGTACATACGTAATACTTCTAGTCTCGCTTCTCGTCTTTTGGCATTTGCTGAGCTCTTGCTGCGCCTTGCGGGCTGACTACTCCATCAGTTGGGCACGTATGCCCACTATTATTACCGCGACAGGCAGGCCGTTGGTCAGGATTGACAGGATACTACGCCATGATATACGTAACTTGACACTGAATACGTACTTTGTGATACACGCGACGCATGCCGCCGCCGCACTGCCCACCCACCACCCAGCCCCTGCCAACCCCTCCTTGGTCCTAAACAATGGCCCTTTTGAGCAACCTTTTCTTGTTGTTTATAAGTGTCCCCATCTCATCCCTCCTTTGTCTCTATTTTTTTTTTCATAAGCACTCTATCAAACCCATCATCACCTCTCTATCTTCCTTATCTTGGTAACTTGTGTGGAAGCCAACCTGTCTTCTCCCCCCCACACACATCACCAAACTCACACATACACACCAACAAAACTCACACAGCAAATAAATCATGCGTCCCGGCCGCTTCGTCTGTGTGGGTATCCCACTCGTCCTAACCATAGGCGCCATCATCGCTTTCATGGTCGCCACGCTCTCGGGCATCACCCACAACGGCCTGTTCATCTTCAGCATCGATCTCAGCAAGTTCGACCTAGACACCGACACCCTCTCTAGCCTAGCCAGTTCCCTCGGGCTCGACCTGCGTCGCCGCGCCGACAGTTCATCATCATCGACGGGCCTGACCGCCAGTGACCTCGGCCTGGGTGATGAGTACGAGATCAGCCTCTGGGGTTACTGCGAGATCGACTCGGACGGCAACCGCGACTGCACCAAGGGCGAGTACAACTGGGCCTCGAAGCACATCCGCAGCGACTTCCTCGACAACCTGGGCAGCGTCTCCGGTGTCAACATCACCCTGCCCGACGAGCTGAACACGGCCCTCAATGTCTTCTGCACCATCACTCGCTGGACTGAGATCGCCTTCATCGCCTCGCTGGCCTCGCTGGGCGCCGTCCTGTTGCTCGGCATCTTCGCCAACTGCACCCGCATCATGTCGTGCGTCACCTGGCTCGTCGGCCTTGTCGCCATCGCCCTGTCCATCGCTGCCGCCGGCCTGGCTACGGCCATGGCCACCGTCGTCGTGGCCGCTGTCGAGTCCCAGGCCAAGGCCTACAACGTGACCGGCAAGATCAGCGCGGGCTACCTCGCCTGCGTCTGGATTGGCGTCGCCTTCGTACTCGGCGCTACCCTCTTCTGGCTCTTCTCCATGTGTTGCTGCAAGCCCGACCACGACAGCCGCCGCAGCCGCCGCCGCGGTGACTCGGTCGACGACGCCGAGAAGCTCATGCCTACCGGCACCTATATCCCCGTCGGCGGCAACACCACCTCCAACCACCACCGCGACGACTCGGGCGAGATGATCACTGCCTATGGTGGTGCCGCTGCCGGTACTGGCGCCGGTGCCGCTGCCTCTTACCACAACCAGTTCCAACCCACCTATGGTGAGGGATACAGCCATTCGCCCTCGATCCGCTCAGACGGCGCCTACGAGCCGTATAAGCATCGTGGTTGAAACAAGCTAACCACCACCACCCTTTTCATGATCTTTAATGCTTATGACGAATTTTCTCTTGTGTCTATTCCCTACGGCAAAATGTTTAGAGAAGTAAAGGGGGAGAGGGCCATGTTTATGATAATCACTCCTTTTTTCTCAGCATGGATGCGTCGGCGTTTGGTCTATTTTTTTTTTTGGTCTTCTTTTTTCCCCATGTCTCTATTCTTATACACAGGCGTTTGGGCAGACAGAGTACTCTGAGACGAATAGTCTCAGAATGGGTTGGACCATGAGTTACTAGGATTTGTTAAATTTGTTGGTAGATAGACATTTGAGAATGAAGCAGTAATACTATTCTTGCAATAGTTCTGTGTGCATGGACTGCTCCTGTGACTTTCGTGACTACTATTGCTGTCGGCGCCAGTGGTAGTAGTAAGTTGATGAGGCACAGAAAAAAAAATGGGTGGAGAAATTTTAACTGTTGGCACCGCCATGACTCCTACCATTTAAGTCGACACTGCGTGCCTGCTCTTCTTGAAGAGATACAAGTGTCTGTCTTCCAAGATACAGGGGATTTGACTGCACATCGCTCCCGTGTATCTCGCCATGGTATATTGGTGAAACGTGTCGACTCAACATGACTCTCAACGGGGTGAGTGGAACACCCACTCTGTGTTTCCCCTCTCGATATCTCCCTGAACAAAGTACACAGGAAGATTCAAAACCATATCTGACCTTTTCCCCCCTCGCAGACCCTGACTCGGGAATTCTCCCAAGTCCCCGTGTCGGCACTCTCATCCTGGCGTTCCCCGACTACTGGCACCGTCCTCATCCTGACAGCCGAAGACACGGACCTCAAGATATACGAGGAGCACTCGGGCCGCCTGACGCGGCAGATCAGCATCTTTGACGAGCAGCCCGTGCACGGCGTCGACGTCGCGTCTGACGGGACGGCCCTGGTATGGGGAGGCAAGCAGCTGGCAGTCTTCAGCCTCGCCGACCACCACGACCAGCAGGCTGTCGTTGCGCGCGCCGGGGCGCCAGACTGGGTATACCACGGGAGGTTTTCACCCGACGAGGACGAGGCTGTCGTTGTGACGGCGCACAACGACGCCGTCCGTCTCAAGATCAGCCGTGACCCCGCGCCGGCCATCGCCGTGCTCGACGTCGTGTCGCCCGCTCGGCCGATCCTGTACGCGGCACAGGTGTCGTGGGTGCGGGGGGACTGCGTCCTCGTCGCGGCGGGGACGGCCTTTGGCGAGATCCTCGTCTGGATGTGTTCCTGGCCGTCGTCGTCGTCGACAGGCGGCCCGGCGTGGTCCTCGCACGAGATGCTATATGTCCTCACGGGGCACGAGGGGTCTATCTACGGTCTTGATATCTCGCCGCCCCTCCGGCTGGATGAAAGTCAAGATGGGAGCGGCAGCACGGTGCGCCTGCTGGCCACGTGCAGCGACGACAGGACCGTACGCATATGGGATATTACCGAGACGAGGTCCAGCCAGACATACGGGGCCGACCACTTTAGTGCGCCGCGTGAGACGGGCTTCACCGGTATCGCAGAGACGGTTAATAAGCATGCTCCGCTGGCTGTGGCTATGGGTCACCTATCCCGTATATGGGGGGTCAAGTTCGCTCTGGAAGGCCCCCTGGGAGGAGGAGAGTGGAAGGGCTGTCGTCGTCCCCTGCCGGTGTATACTTTTGGAGAGGATGCTACGACGCAGCTGTGGAATCTTGGATTGCAGATCGATGATGTTGGCAGGCTCACCGGGGGTGACCTGGTGCACAAGGGGACTATGTCATTGCATGACGGGAAACACATATGGGCTTCGTGCCTCACCCCCTCGGGCGGGCTGGCTACGGGCGGGGCGGATAGCAAGGTATCGCTTATACGGAGATATGACGCTGCTGACGATGATGGGCTTATTACCTTTGACGTTCAGGGTATCTGCCCCGACGATGCCCCAACAACAGAAGTAGCAGCAGCAGCAGAATCTAGAGAAGAAGAAGAAGAAGAAGAAGAAGAAGAAGAAGAAAAGGGTGTAGAAGAGACGACAGAAACGACAGAGGAAAAAGTGGAAGACGCATCCTCGGGAACCAAAACAACGGACAAGAAGAAGACGAAGAAGAAGAAGAAGAAGAAGACCAAGCCAGAGGCAGTGGGTCGCTTCGACTACATATCGGCAAACGAGCTACTCGTCATCACATCGGCGGGAAGACTCCTCCTGGGGACCTTCGACTCGGACGACCAGGTCCATTGGGAGCGCATCCACGCAGCGCCGGGAGACGACGACTTGAAGCGCTGCTACGTCCTCAAGTGCGCGTGCGACGGGGCGGCTGTGCTGGGCACCACGGATGGCAACGTGTACATGTACCACGGTCGACGGGTCACGCGCGCCGCCACCGTCCCGGGGAAGATAGTTGAGATAAACTGCCTCGTCTCGGGCGTCGCCGCGACGACCGACGTACTCGTCCACACGTACGGATCCGTGGAACCGTACCACCTCTCACTGGATGTCGAGTCAGCCCACCTGCTTGACCAGGCACGAATCCGCGGGTTGGACCACCGCTTCGTGCCCGTCTCAGCGGCCAGGGTGGGCGAGTACCTCGTCCTCGGGTCACGACACGGGTACCTGTCGTTTGCGCGGAGGGCGGGGTCGGGAGGATTTACCAGGGAGTTGGAGCTGGCGCCGCAGAACCGTGACGCGGTCACGTCGATTGTGGCCCTCCCCGGCGAGACCGGGTGCTTCATGGCAACCAGCCGAGATGGCCGGTACAGAACCTACGAGATGCAAGAGAAGGAGTCGGAGGGTGGGGATGTGCTGCGCGTCCGCCTGCGTCACGATGGGGCGCCGCCGTTCGGCCCGCTGCTAGAAGGCGCATGGATGGCGAGGACAGCCGCCGATGAAGAAGATGGGGGGCCACCGTCGTCACGTCGGGACCTGGTAGTCTTCGGGTTCAGGACCAAGAGGTTTGTCGTGTGGAACGAGACGCGGCGCGAGGAGCGATTCTCCGTCGACTGCGGCGGCGGTCACCGCACCATCAGCTTCCGGCATGGCGACTCCGACTCGTCCCGTCTGCGCTTCGCCTTCAACAGGGCGTCCAAGCTGTCCATCCTGTCGCAGACGTCGCCCCGGTGCGGCACGCTCAAGAAGGGCACGCACGGAAGGGAGATCCGGGCCATAAGCTCCAATGGGCGGTATGTGGCCACGGGGGCCGAGGACACGTCGATCCGCATATGGGAGTACGCCCGAGCTGGAGTGGACCAAGAAAGAGAGGATGACACTGCTGGCACCGGTACGGCTAGCGGCGGGGCAGCGGCGTCACGGCAGATGAGGTGTCTGGCCGTGGTCAAGATGCACACCACGGGTATACAGACGCTCAGGTGGCTGGGGGACGACTACCTCTTCAGCAGCGGTGGGAACGAGGAGTTCATGGTCTGGCGTGCCGTCCGGGGTCGCGGCGAGCGTAGCGGACTGCTAGGTGTGGTGCGCGAGGCCGTCTTCGACGACAAGAGTCCCGTCGGGGACCTGCGTATAGTCGACTTTGACGTCGAGAGGCGAGCTGGGGATGCCGTCACGATCACCATGGCCCTTTCCAGCTCAGCGTTTCGCACGTACCGCTATGTCCGGCCCGCAGAGGCTTCGGCTCCTTCCCCTCCCCTGCAGGGGGCGTTCCAGGCTGTCGCGGGCGGTGCCTACACGGGAGCCTGCCTCACCCAGGTGCGACATCTACCGGGCGTACCCGACTCCGTGGTGACGGCGTCTACGGACGGACACATCTGCGTGTGGAAGATGACTGCGGCGGATGCGGCGGATGCGGCGGATGGGAACGGGCCCCTCCACGTGAAGAAGGTGTTTGCCGTGGCTCAGACTGTGCGAGTGCACCAGAGCAGCATCAAGTGTCTGGACATGGTGACCACGCAAGGGGACGGCGCGTACAGGTATACGGTCCTCACGGGAGGTGACGACAATGCACTTGGCGTGACGGTCCTGGACCGCTGTGCGGGAGAGAGCGGGAGCGAGAGGGACCTCGTCGTGGTGCCACGCAGCCGGGCTGTCGTGCGCAAGGCTCACGCGGCGGCGGTGAATGGCATCGTAGCCAGGATGTCAGGGGGAGGAGGGAGAGGAGGAGATGACGGGAGAATCGTGGTGGTGACGGTGAGCAATGACCAGCGCATCAAGACGTGGGAGGTGCGTGAGGGGAGAGGTGTAGGGCTGCTGGGGGACGAGTACGGCGGTGTGGCGGATGCCGGTGACGTCGAGGTTATCCACGATGACGGGGAGGGGGGATTGTCGGTGATTGTTGGCGGAGTGGGCGTTCAGGTTTGGAAGGTGAGGTGACGGCATATGCACCCACTCATACGATGCGAGCGATGATGCTGCCGCACAAGGAATACAATAGGAATACAATAGGAACACAATAGAAATACAATAGAATACCTGGACACGGGTGGATAGGTATGTAACCTGTATAGATGCATATAGATGCACACACTAAAAGAAAGGTATTGAGGGTTGAAAAAAGGTAAGAGGAGGTTGGAAGAAAAGGGGACCGTTCGGGACCTGGGAGTTAGTAGACGCCACAGAGCAAGTCGAGCCGGAAGCGGACCCCCCCCCCTTTGACAGAGCTCCTCACAGAGGTGAACTCGCTAAGAGAAAGGGATGTCTAGTAGGCTCTTTTATTATTGTATCATTGTATTATCATTATGAATTTTCTTTTTATAATTAGGGAGAAGACAATCGAACTGGAATAGAGACGACAACTCTGCCCGAGTAACTGTCGGATCTTCTCGTCTTGCGTATGATAATACGGTATTTACAGATGCTGAGGCCCCCAGACAGGGGAGAGGACCTGGGACCTAATGTAGGTAGGTGATGGAGAAGAATCCACTTTGGCCGTTCAGCTGTCCCACACTCTCACACGCTCGGACAAAGCTCAAGGTTTTCCACCTTGAAGGCAGAGAGACAAACGGTCAGAGACAAGAACAAACACGTGCGATGGAGACAGTTTAGTCCCCCACCAAAAAAGAAGAGAGAAAAAAAAAAAAGAAGAGAGAAAAAAAAAAAAAAGAGTTGGAGGGAGGTAGCATGGGGCTAAACCTTTTTCGGAAACGGGAGGAAAAAAAAAAAAAAAAAAAAAAAAAAAAAAAAAACCCCCCCCCCCCCCCCCCCCCATTCCCTGAATTTAATGGTAGTCTCAGAACTGGTACTCTCATGTGTCGAGGTTACAAAGAGGACGCCGGACAGACAAGTCGCGAACATTCCTGTGTCAAGCCTCTTTTTCAACTCGTAGCCTAAACCGACTGAAGGATGGGAAAAAAAAAAGGAAAGGAAACACAAGGAAACACAAGCTAACGGGGCATGACAAGTAGTTTAGCTTGCTCTGGACGATAAGACGGACTATAAGCTAAAATGACTCGAGGAGAGGTGGGGGGTAGAGAGAGTTATTTTGTTTTCTTCTCCTTCTTCTTCATCTTCTCCATCCCCTCTCTCGATAAAACGAACGGTGCGAGCGAGACATTCTGACATTGACTTGGTTTGCTAGTACGGAAAGTAGGAGGAGTCATCACTAGCAGTCGCACAAGTAGGAATATAGGTACGATACATACACAGGGACAGACAGGGCTGGATGAGTGTACCGTAAGAGGCTTTACGCCACTCATGATGGAATGATCGATGCTCATGCTGTGTATGCGTGCTCGATGTCACCAAGTAAAGAAGGAAAGATTCCATCGTCATCGGGAAGAGGGGGGGGGCATGATGGGGCCCATCAACAGGAACAGGGGATTGGACCCTCTTCTTCTTTACACCATCCGGAGCGTTCCTGCTGAAGACGTGGGTCGTTCTTGCCTTGGCGGCTGAGAACGGGGATCCTCTTCTCTCTGCCCTTGAACCTTTGGGGGGGGGGGGTGGCACTTGACGATTCACGCACATGTCCATTACGGTCTCTTTGTACTCCGTAGATTGGCTATAACGCCTGTGAAGAGAGGAGAGAGAGGAGAGAGAGAGAGAGAGAGAGATAGAGATAGAGATAAAAGAGATAAAGGGGGGGGGGGGGACAAAACTAGGTCTCTTGTGTCGCACAATGGCGACCGCCATATATTGAACTCTTTGGATCCCACTCGACTTCAACCCATCTTTTATATATTCCCATCCGTCCACCCACCCACCCACCATCCGGCCTTTTTTTCTTTTTCTTTTCCATCTCTTTTTTCTTTCTCTTCTTCCTCTTCTTCCTCTTCTAAATCTCGTCTACTACGTTCCTCATACTTTCATTGACATTATCATCAAGAGCTGCAATCTCGTTGAAATCCTTCATTCTAGCATTTCCTCTACACTCTTTCCAACTCTCTAGAATTACAAGACACACACACACACACACGGATACACAATACATTCGATATGAAGACGTCAATCTACATCTTTGCCGTCACGGCCTTTACCTCTCTCGTCTCGGCTGCACCGATGATCGGTCCTGTTGGTCCCTGCGCAGATGTACGTCCTTCTCTCTCTCTCTCTCTCTCAGGTCCGTCCCGATGATGCAGACGGTTGAAGGCTGACAGCCCAACAAGGCCAAGGTCGATGCCATCCTCAAGGGTGAGATGGACCCTTCGGAATGCTGCTCCTACGGCGTCTGCAAGGGCGACGTCGTCATCTCCGTCGGCTGAGCACGCTGCTGCCATCCTGAATACGGACTGAAAACACGCATGGCACTCGATACCCGCTCATCTCTACGCCCGTTCTCCGAGATGTATTACTGCACTCCCATATATATATATATATATATACACTTGTCTCCATACCGACACCCGACATAAAATTCGAGTCTGAACCTGGCAACGATACAGCGGTCTGATGAGGACACACACACACACACACACCGGACCAAACCAAGGCACGTCGTCTGCCCAACCAACCAAAAGCCGACTGTCGTCGAGCCGACATGCCCATCCCTTCACAAGGCATATCGTCATTCGGTCAGAGAAGGCACCAGCTGTTGCTTACTATACGATTACGAGAGCGAGAATATTAAAGGCGTTATCAGGGGGGATTGAGGGGAGTTTTTCTCTCTCTTTTTTTTTTTTTCTCTTTTTGTTTCTTTTAGAAAAAAGGCAGGAGTTTTTATCTACTTATTCTGAATATTTTATGTCTTCATCTCTATTCCCATCTTTATTTGCATCTCTTACTTTTATTTCTCCGTCTTCTTCTTTTTTTTTTTCCTGGATTGACGTCTTGTCTTATCACTTGGAGTTTATTGAACTCGGATATCAATGGGATGGATGCATGTCATATCCAACCATGTATATGTATGATATAACTCCTAGAGAGAGAGAGACGAGTACCACCAAGCTACTGCAACATCCTTGCAGACGCTTGCGAGTGTGCACGGCACACCCACCACCTACAACCATCGCCCCCCCCCCTCCACACCATCATCTTTTGACGATCCCTTATCTTGCTTGCCTCTTCTTCTATAGACGTCGAGAGTAGATACCTGCCGTCTCACATCTATGCAGACTCCACCGTCACCGGCCTTGTGTCTCCCTCCTCGCTACCATCTTGTCAAAGACAACTTCTTTTCGCTTCTTGACCAAGGAGTAGTCTTCGTGGGGAGGCCCAGACCCGATCCCCTGTGCCATGCTCAGCGACGGCATTTATCCTATGAGATCCGAGAGTACACCCTTCCACTCGGCTTCCGTAAGACCTGACGAGATGAATAGATGGGGAATTACATGCCAAAGACACGGAAGAAGAAGAAGACAACGCACGGAATACGACGAGGTGGGACCGACTACGCAAGTCCCGATGTCTAGAAAAAAAATGATATCATCAGAGAATACAAGGGACTCTTTTTTTTTTTCCTTCAAAATTTTGTCTTTTTCTTTGCACCGTGAGAGACAAAAGGATCCACTGACGGACAGATTTCATGCCACGTCCGTTAACCGGCCGAGTGACAGGCCAGGGAGGCTCGATGGGGGCGGGGGGCAGGGTTGGTTAGGATGGACTCGGCTGTAGAGGTAGCATTAGAAGCAGAAGTCACGATGAATAAGTATTCTACCTCTCTGTACCTCTCCGTCACTTGTGCTGTAGCGAAAAAAAAAACAAGAAAAAAAACTTTGCATGTCATGTGCACAAACTCTTTATTAATTCTGTTGATGTGTTGATGTGTTTGTTTCCCTTCCATCCCCCCCCCCCCCCCCCTCATCTGGGGAACCAAGAAAGTGGGGGAGGGGTAAATGATGCTCATAATCGTCGTCGTATAATATCAACTAATATGTAATACAGGGTAATACAGCCTACAGCCTCATGACAGCATTATTCAACAAACTGCAGTGATGGAGACCAATACTACTACTACTACTACTACTACTACTACTACTACTACTACTACTACTACTACGCACCCATGGTGAATCTCTCTCTCTCTCTCTCTCTCTCAAGAAAAAAGAAAAAAGAAAAGATAGTACCCTGAACATCAATGACCTGGATATCATTGGCACGCAAATAGAGGGGAGGGAGAGGAAGAGGGAGAAAGTGAGGTAAGAGGAGGAAAGTCTGATCCGTTCACCTCCTTCTTCACTCCTGATTGGCGCGGCAGACCAGAAGAGACGCGCCCCGTCTTCGGCCCCGACTTTCTCACACATGGCCTGCTACTTAGTCCACTTCTTCAAACCCCACATGACGATTCCTCGCTCCTTGTGGCCTCAGACCCGAACGGGCCAACCCACCGACGTCCAATGCGAGAGACCACCAGATTGTAGTGGTGGTGCCTGGGTTTAGCTGTTATGATATATAACACCCGAATGGTGCCGAAGGGGGGACGCCCGGTCCAGTTCGGTCAAAAACGCCATCCTCCTCCTCTCTCCCCCTCCTCGTCCTCTTCAAGCCTACCATCTTACCTTTAACCTTCCCTCCTTCCTTCTTCTTCTCCTTCCTCATCCCCTACCTTGTTCAGACCTCACATCCCCTTCCCAAAGATGAGCCCTTCCGCCGTTGATGGCCCGGCCCAGCCCGAGGTCATCAAGTCGCAGCTCAAGCCCAACATTGGCGTCTATACCAACCCCAAGCATGACCTGTGGCTCAACGCAGCCGAGCCGACGGCTGAGAATGTCAAGTCTGGCTCTGACCTCAAGCCTGGCGAGGTCACCATCGCTATCCGAAGCACCGGTATCTGCGGGTAAGTGTCTTTCTTCTTCTTCTTCTTCTTTCCCCCCTCCCCCTCCCCCTCCCTCCTTGCTCCTGCTACTGCTGCTGACCACCAAGGGGGGGGAAATGGAAACAGCTCCGACGTACACTTCTGGCACGCAGGTTGCATAGGCCCCATGATCGTCGATGGCAACCACATCCTCGGCCACGAGTCGGCCGGTGACGTTATCGCTGTGCACCCCTCGGTCACGCATCTCAAGATCGGTGACCGCGTGGCCGTGGAGCCCAACGTCATCTGCAACGAGTGCGAGCCTTGCCTGACGGGTCGGTATAACGGCTGTGAGAAGGTGGCCTTCCTGTCGACGCCCCCGGTTCCTGGCCTGCTCCGCCGCTACGTCAATCATCCGGCCGTGTGGTGCCACAAGATCGGCGACATGTCGTACGAGGACGGGTCGATGCTAGAGCCGCTCAGCGTGGCCCTGGCCGGGATGCAGAGAGCCAAGATGCAGCTAGGCGACCCGGTCCTCGTGGCAGGCGCCGGCCCCATCGGCCTCATCACCCTGCTGTGCTGCGACGCCGCCGGCGCCTGCCCCCTCGTCATCACCGACATCTCCGAGAGCCGGCTGGCCTTTGCCAAGTCGCTGGTGCCCCGCGTCATCACTCACAAGGTCGAGCGCGGCACGCCCGAGGACGAGGCCAAGCGCATCGTCCAGTCGTTTGGCGGTGTCGAGCCCGTCCTCACCATGGAGTGCACAGGCGTCGAGAGCAGCATCGCCACGGCCATCTGGGCCAGCAGGTTCGGCGGCAAGGTCTTCATCATCGGCGTCGGCAAGAACGAGATCAGCATCCCCTTCATGCGCGCCTCGGTCCGCGAGGTCGACATCCAGCTCCAGTACCGCTACTGCAATACCTGGCCCCGCGCCATCCGCCTCGTCGAGAGCGGCGTCATCGACCTCAAGAAGCTGGTCACCCACCGCTTCAAGCTCGAGGATGCCCTCGAGGCCTTCGAGACGTCGGCTGATCCCAAGAGTGGCGCTATCAAGGTGCAGATCCAGGCGTTTGACTAGGTTTTTTTCTTTTTCTTTTCTTTGCCAAGGGTTCAGGTCAACTAGTTGTAATGTGATAGAATGTTGTGTTATGGGTTGGATTGAATAGGAGTTGGAGAGATGTAGTTTTTTCCTTTCTCTTTTGACAACACGATAGAAATTTCTATTTTTTTTTTTTTTTGGGTTAGTATCATCTTTCTCAAATCAAAACAAGTGCTATTAGGCAAGACACCTTAGGGGGAGAGAGACTATGTCGATATTCGGCAAGAGCATTCTTCCGCTCCTTCTCTCGTTCAAAAGTCTCAAAAGTCTCTCTCGTTAATAAGAGGTCCTCCCCAGCCCCAGCTTCCCTTCACGCGTCCATCCAGAAGGAGTTTAGCCCGACAAACCTACCAGGCCACAGTCACTGTAACCACCTAGAATTAGCCACTGGAAAGTCCAGTAACAAGCTGCAGTGTCCCCGGCTAGACTACGGCAAAGCCTCTGAAAGCCAACCATCTCGAGCGAATTCTCCCGAGCCTTTTTTTTCTCCCTCAGCTAATTCTGTCCCTTGTCCCTTTCATTCCTCATTGTGTGTCTCCTCCCCCCCCCCCCCCCCCCCTCTCTCAATCTCCAACCTCCCGACCCATCGCCCTTGCTGTGTGTCGTCACTCACTTCTTTATATCTTCAGTTTTCCCGAGAAGATTTGAGAGAAGCAGCAAAACACAACCACACACATCCCCCGACACAATGTCAGCCCGTCCGATGCTCCGCTCCCCGGTCCTGCGCTTCGCCGCCCGCCGCTACCAGAGCACCTCAACCCAGGACATCGCCGCCAAGGCATCGCAGGGTCTATCGCGCGTCAGCAGCGCCGCCGGTCCTGCCATTGCCGGTGCGGCCAAGGGTGTCGCTGGTGCTCTGGGAAAGGTCGGTGGAAGGACCGGAAAGGTTGTCAACTTTATCGAGCGTGCGTTTCCCTCCTCGTTTCTCCCCCTCCCCCAATCCAACTCCCCGGGAACCCGGACGAACCGATAGAAAAAAAAAACTGACACGATCCTAAACATGACAGGCCAGATCCCCTTTGTCGTCTACTACTCTAAGGTCGGTCTCGAGGTCGGCAAGTACATTGCCCATGGACAAAAGATGAGCCTTCCGTGAGTTTCTTCTCTTCTCTCCTTCTCTTTTTGCCTTCTTCTCTTTCTTCTGACACTTGTCCTGTCCTATGTGCTAACCCTTGATCGTTAGCTCTGTGGCCACCTTCCAGACCTATTACCGCACCTTCTTCGAGTCCGTCAAGTCCGGCAGATTCTTCAAGTCCCCCCAGGCTATCCTCCAGTCCATCCGCTCCGTAAGCCCCCTCCAGCTCGCCTCCGGTGGTGTCGTCCTGGCGGAGCTCCTCGGCTTCTTCACCGTCGGCGAGATGATTGGTCGCTTTAAGCTCGTCGGATACCACGGCGAGGCTTCTTCGCACCACTAAATACCTTTTTTTTTCTTGATTTCTCAAGAAATAATCAATGGAAACATTCGAGGGAGGAGGGGAGGCGCCTGCGCGCGCATATCTGTGTACGATTGGAAGGGAAGAGGAAAGACCGAGAGAGAGAGAGAAAGAGAGAGAGAGAGGAGGAAACAAGCGCATTCGAGGCAAGGGCAAAAACAAAAATCCTTTGATGAAACCAAGACGCCCTTTTCTTTGCCTCGGCTCAACCGCATCAATGGTCATGGGAAGCGTCGAGGTCGAGGCCAGGTTGCGAACTTGCATTGGACCCATGGGAGGTTGTGTACAATAATACCTCAAAACTTTCTGATTTCGTGCTGGGGTTCTATCCTCTTCCGTTCCCTCTCCCTCTCTTGCTACCATGACAACTTTTGTTTGGACTTTTTTTTCCCTTCATTTTCTGACCAAACAAAATTTCTCGTTTCTTTTTTTTTCTCTTCTTTTTTTTTTAATATTTTTATAAAAAAGAACCTCCTCATTTCCTTTGTCGAAGATTGTACAAAACAGGAGAAAATCAAGGATGATTTCATTTTAATCCAACTTTTGAACTATTAGTACTACGTGCCATATATCATCGCAACATCCATCAATGAAATGAACCATGTTATTTTGTGTCTACAAAAGTACTAGATACTGTTAATACCCGAGGCAGTAGTAATTCATACTCCCAACACGGGGACACACGCACACGCAAAAAGTCGAAAAAGAAGAAGAAAAAGATAGCCAATGCAAGCCTGTTCCCATGATATAACCCAATGATAGCATACGCCAAACAACAAAAGTGCAGTTGACTCCCGATATCCCCTTCCGGTACACCCTCTCCCTCACCCTCACCACCCTTTGTGCCTACTGCCAAACACTGTTCCCCTTTCCTTTAAAACCTCCTCCCACATACCAAGGCAGATGCAAATTTTCGAAAAGAAGAAGTATAAGAAGTATAAGAAAAAGAGTCAAAAGAAGAAGGCATTACATGTCTCCTCGTGTACCGAGACATGCGTCGTATGTTGCCACCATACATTACACTGTATCTTGGATCGACGTAGTAATCCTGATAGCTCCAGGGATGGCTGCTACCGAATGTGGTAGTTTCCGTATATCCAAGTGGTAGTGCCACCGGGCAACACCACCCGGCTCTGCTTCGTATGATGGGAGTTGTGTGGGCGCAGTTCGCGCATGGTTTACGGTCTCCTTGCCGTCCAGATGTGGCTGCAGAATATTCACTGTCAGCAATTATAAAGGTGCAAAGAGAGAGAGAGAGAGAGAGAGAGAGAGAGAGATATGTCAGGTACGTACAATGTCATGTAGGCGTGGTAGCGAAGGACGCACATCTCCCTCTTCGTTCTGGCGCAGAGGCTATTGACCTCGTCGATCGACATGCCGAGATAGTCAACCATGGGTAGCAGGCTCATGGCTTCCAGTCCTTGGGAGAAGACCAGGTTGAACCACCTTGCTATCTCCCGTTCTTGCCTGTCGCTAGACCAGGGGCAGACGTAGCACCTGATGGTCTCCTCCCTGACGTCGACAAAGCCGGCATCCTCGAGCATCCGCACCGTCCACTGGGGTGCCACTCGAGCACTCTTATTGACCCTGTCCATGCCTTGTAGGTACAGTTCTGACCACTCCTGTATGGCGGACGGATTCGGGATGTCACCGCTACTCTCCCAACGCGGTGTCCAGTCAATTTCAGTATGCTCCACGAAGCCCGTACCTGGCGCCAGTCGTCTATCGATATGTGTCAGCCACGTGTGTTGAGGCCTGGGATTCTCGGATGACGGGTTCATACCCAAAGACGTTTCTGTAGACCTGGGGCCACAGATTCGTTTGGATGCTCCCATAGAGGAGACGGATATGGACGAGATCGCAATTTGACATCAGGCCATCCCAGGACGGCTCCTCAATGTCAAACTGCATTGTCCTCATCCCAGCGGGGATGAGATGCGGCTGAACTTGGTTCAGGTCCACAGCCATGACTTCGGTGTGCTGGTAGTGTCTTGAACAACATTAGCTTCAAGATATTCGTTGACGCAGATGGGCTAGATCGAACATACTCGCTGACATGGATGGACCAGATGCCTGTGCCCGTTCCTACATCTAGGATCTTGACGGGCCGGTCCTTCCGGAGCGCGTAGTCGAGCCCAAGGCCATCGCGGGCCACGAGGAAGACCTTGTGGAATATGTCCAGCCTATTCAGCTCTTCCTGTAGCGATGGGTCAGCGTCAGGAGAGACGCAGCTTCGGGGCAGTATACCTTACCGAGTCGATGGGAAAGATGTATTTCCCAGGCTTCCAAGAGCCATAGTAACGGCCATGCCTCCAGAAACCATCCAGGAGATACCTCTCCTCGGACGTGCTGTATTCCGTCCGAGTCAGTTCCATTGAGACGACAGGTGAGTGCCGGCAGTGTACGTACGCTTGTTGAGACATGGCTCCTAGATGTATGTATTCCGTGAAATTGCTGTTGTCTCGCGACGCTCCCGATTATCCAGCCTGACGAGCCACGCAACAGTGGTTTGTGGCCTAAGTCTTTTCAGCACCTGAGTTGAGGTGAGATCGTATTAGGCGTCGAGGCTATGATTTGGGTACTGCCATATATAACCTCCATTAGCAACCAGTTCCAAGAGGTAGGCGTGGCCCTGGAATTCCAGAGGACTAAAGCGTGATGTAGTCACTTGACGAGAAAAATTGGCACATTGAGAGGTATGAAAAAACTGCGTCTGGCCGCCATAAAGACGGTAAGAAGACATGCATGCCGCCGTGGGACACTGCAGCGACCCGTGACGTGAACAGACTGCGCACTCCAGGGGACATGGCACGAAGCGTCGGCAACGTAGGAGCATTCATGGCCCTACTGAAGCAATGGGAACTCGGCGCAATCTGGTGGCTGTCACTGCACGTCTAGGCACCTGCAGTCTTATGTTGGAGGGGAGTGCAGTACTGAATGGAGCGGCAGTTGAAGGATGGGGCCAGAAATGGCTTCGTCGGTGTGAAGACGGCATACGGGATACAGGTCGTAGCAAAACATGCAGTAAACCAGCATTGGCGTGGACCGAGAAGGAGGGCGTATAATTCTTGAGGAGAGGAAAGACATGGCAAGACTCACAGTACGAAGATTGAGGGTGCTCGGGATTTGTGCAGACGAAGGTGGGCTGAAACTGGCGAGGCGCACTAAGCGCGGTGAACAGGTTGTGCGGCGGAGAATGCAGAGCGGGAAAAAAAAAGGGACAGCTACGGCCAATGCGCCTTTATTCCCCCCTCGCCTTGTCCTGGACGGACGGCGTGACCGTCGGTCTTCTCAGTGCCTTGGAGGTAGGGTGGTTCAGGTACCGAGGGAGTTGTGCAGTTGAGATTGTGCAGATGAGACGAGCTTGGTGATGGGGATTGGTGACGGTGGTCCGTGGATGATGGTGGATTGACGGGAGCGAGTGAGTGCCAAGCGCGGCTAGGAAGGTTTTCGACAAACCAGTGGGCAAGGGTGCGCAGAAAGTCCAATGGGCCAGGTCTGAGCGTGCCGGGGCGTGACGGGCCGCGAGAGGTTAACTTTGTCTGCCGTGGGATGCAGTTGGTGGTGGTGGTAGCGGTGCCCGCAGGAAGATGTAGGAGGGTATCCGTAGCAGTTAGTAGAGTTGTCTCAGGAGGCCTACTCGTACTGTCAACATGGCGCTTCAGAGTGGAGAGGGAGAGGGAAGAGCGAAAGCATGGGAGGTCAGCGACTCTTATGATGCCGTGCGGGCATATACCGGGCGGTCGCAAAACCTGTCTGTCTGCCGAGAGCCGTTAGTCAAGGAGCTATGACGGGGTTCGAGAACATGGGTTTATTATTATTATTTTAGGTGGCCGATGCCAACATGGCCTCCCGGGTGGGTTGGGCCGGCGCGTAGATCCAACCTCGTCCGGATTTTGGGTCTGTTTGGGTCTTCTTGGGTCTTGCTTGGGCCTTGGAGTCTGGGATGGTCGTTGGGCATGTACCTTCTTCGCTTCCCTCACTTCGGCTACTTGGACGAGTCGGGACTAAAAAAGCAATAGTAGCTAACATAGACTACCCGTGCTTCACGTAGCGCCGTTTGCTTGCTGTACCGTGAAAGGGGAAACGGGGCGGGTCCCTCTTTTCTCTCTCTCTTTTTTTTTCTCTTTTTGCCCTGTGTCGTCACCGATGAAGGTGTGGACGGGCTAGCTGGAAGAGTGGACTTGTGACCGACAAGCCGGGCTGTAGGGCTTTACAGGACGTGATTAGCCAGATACACAAACACGGGTGGAGAGAGACAGAGGGAGAGGGAGAGAGAAAGAGAGGATGGTGGGAGGTTGATGGAAACCTCTGATGAGGGGCTGTATATATATATATATATATATGTGTGTGTGTGTGTGTGTGTGTGTATATGCGTACAACGTGTCTCTGTGTGTGACTATCTGATGACTTTTGTTGCCTCTGACAGTAGCCGGTGAGCATGGCTTGAAAGCACTGGGTCGAGGGTGGTGACGCAGATGAGAAAAGGCGACAAGAAGGTGACGGCACAACTTGGCATGGCCAACAATCAAGTAATAGAGAGTGTGATATGATGATATATACTAGCCCAGAGTGATACCGCACTAGTCAGTAATACAACGGAGTCGTAGCGTACAGGATATTGTTGCTGGAGGAAGCTGGAGGAAGCTGGAGGAAATGGTACGAATGGGATGGTATAGTATAATACGGCTGCCATGGAAATTCAGGCACACACAGGGATACACGGGGATGCACGGACGAGAAATCCATAGGGAAAGAGCAACCGGGCAGTTGATTACGTCGTGCTTTCCCTTTCACTTACGAATAGTGGAGGGCTCATTCTGGAGGGCTCCTTCCTGCATGACATCGCCTCTGGCCAAGTGAATGCAGCTGCAACTGCAGGTGGTGTGGTGCCTTTGCCTTTTACCATTTGGTGTGATAATACCTCGTGCGTTTCTGGTGTGCCTTGTGCGCTCCGTCCTTCCAAGAGAAGGCGGCCAGGCACGCACCCCAGATCCCTGCTTTCAATTTCATGGTATCGAGTAATATCCATTGACCATTGACTATTTGCCGTCCTCCTACCACCACCACCACCACCACCACCACAAAACACTACTACTGCCACTAGTACGAAGTACGGATACAGTGCTATCCATCAAGAAGTCGGCAGATGACTTTGCCACTCATCCCTCGTATTGCTTACCGACTACGGAGTCCTGCCTACCACTATTGCAACTCGTAGCAGGACCTACCATCTTGGCAAACCTGGAACCTTCATCGAATAGGCACACGATTTTGATTGCACTACCAGTATCATTTACCTCTAGCTCGCAATCCCTGCTTCGCACACATCGACTCGTACTCGTACTCAGTATCACTCAATCGCACTCGCTATACCCGCGTTATTGCGACCTACAGAGCACGGAGTAATATAGCAATACAAGGCAAGACTATATCGGGCCCAAGCTCATCCTAGCAATTCCCCTCGCATGGATCTGGGTGCTCAAACCCGCCCGCCCTCTACCCGCCCACCACCCAGTCGTCAGCCCGTTGGGCCGGGCCCGTGCTGCGTGAAGAAAGGGGGG